GCAACTAGTCTATACAAGCTGGTTGTATTTATAGTTTTAGCACATGTGAAGACAGAAATGTAGAGGTTTACAAACACAACGTTTTTGTGTTTATTTGTTTGTCGTAACTATGTTTTGTATTTGCCTTTGAAAAAGACTCATTAAGAGTCGAAAGCGCTTAGGCTAGTTAGTTACTAGTTTCGTACTGTTCGTCGTCAGTTTATTGCATCTATTTTAATTAATCCCTGACACACGTGATCCCTTGGTGGATCCAGTACGCTTGAGAGGGTTGTTATTCGCCATATGATTTGTATTCTTTGTATATATATATATATATATATATATATATATATATATATATATATATATATATATATATATATATGGGGTGTGTACGATTTAATCAAATTGAATTGTTCAAAGTAATAAAGAAGAAAGCACCAAATTAGTTCAAATGCTATATATCTTTTCAAGCTTTAGCATGAAAATATGTCAAGGTCAGGTAGTTTAAAAAAATCATTGTGTGGGTATTAGTACACTGAATTTACAATGTGAATCTTGAAATTGAACAAGTGGGATAAAGTGAGCATGACTATAACCTTACGATACCAGGCCGGTCACATTTCCGACTGGTATAAGTTTCAACGTCACTAACACGTTGAAAATTCAACCCTACAAGAGTGCTTTCAACAGAGGGGGCACGTTTTCACGAGTGAGGAGTCATTGTTCCGGAACACATTTTCAATGGGGTTCACGATTCTTCGTTTCACTTTCCTAGCAAACTTGAACGAGCTTACATCGAGCTATAACCTGCATGAAATTGATAGGAAGACGATTTATTTTCTCAGAAAATGCTAGTATAACATTCATTATGTGTTTAATCCGTTGACAGACGAGACAAAACAACAGCGTTGATGAAATTTTAGCTAGAACTCGTCTTTATCGATCAATGCCATCTCTCTGCTGTCAGCGTAAGTTTGAGTCTCGGATTCGGCCAATGTGGATATGTGAGACTTCTAGTAGGTCGGTGGTTCGTGCTGGAGTTTTTCTGGGTTCTTCCTAGTTATACTGACCGCCATGTACAGCCCTATCATAAGCCACAAAACGGCATTAAACTTAACAACCGTTCTCGAAAAAAATACACTATCTGTGTTCATTTAAAATGTTTAAATTCGTTGCATACATTTTTTTAAGCTAAGCAACACAGATCAATATTAAAAGTAAAAGCATCTCACACACATATACGAAAAAAAAAACAGATACAAAAATGGGTTTCAACAGGAGCACAGTGATAGGAGAGGAAAACGATTGTTCTAATTTCTGTTGTGGCAGTGATGGGAGAGGAGAACGGTTGTTCTAATTTATGTTGTTGTGGCAGTGATAGGAGGCCATAGTACACAATTAATTTCACTATATTGTCTTTACATATGTTTCTCAGTACTGAACTTTCCACTGTGTGACAATCAATACAAATCATATGTTAATCTAAAATACCTTCAAAGATGACTTTACGGTTTAGTTCTTGTCAAGGGTTGACCTGCATTTTTTTGAGAGGCTGAATTGTAAACAAAACACCAGGCAACGGAACAGAGATTTCACTTCCAGATCATCACCATGACCTTATTACTCAATGTGCACTATCCCCGAAATACACACAGACAACCACACCATAAGCTCACATTTTAAAGAATAAACAATTGCCTTTAAATCCTTACCAAGAATGCCAAAATCTGACTCTAGTATCAACACCAAACTTTGACAGGAAAAGGTAATCTAAAAATAGACTTGGACTACATTCGTGGGTACTGAACAGGGTTTTAATAATTGTGTACTGATTCCAGGAGAGGAAAACGGTTGTTCTAATTTCTGTTGTTGTGGCAGTGATAGGAGAGGAGAACGGTTTTTCTAATTTCTGTTGTTGTGGCAGTGATAGGAGAGGAGAACGGTTGTTCTAATTTCTGTTGTTGTGGGTACGATCTTCATTCAAGATTTCATCTTTACATTTTCTAGCTCATATACGTTTTATTGGATTTCCCCTTTTCTGTCCATACGTTATGTCTGTCAATATAGTTCATTATAAATTATTTGCTGGAAATTCGCCAAACTTAATTCATAAGTTGTTTGTAACTAGCAAATATATCTAATCTCATCTTCCTGGGATTCAGTACATTTTGTTTTCAAATCTGTACATTTTTAACTGCACTTCAAATTTACGTCTCTTTCATCAAAACCCAAGAACCTGATAACTCTGGCATATTACATCTATATGTAAACAGGAAAAGATATGCGCACTTATTATAAACGAGATGCAAGCGTGGGTTTGATTGACTTCTGTTGACATATGCCTATTTATTGAGATATGGCACCCACCCATGCTCGATTATGGTTCAGAAGTTAGTGAATGTTTGTGTATAGCTCTGAGCCCCCCCCCCCAGTCAGCCATGCCGACGGTTAAATAATAAAAGGTAGAAAGGGTGAAACTCAATAGCAACAATTTAATTAACAATAGTCAATCACTCGAATTTCACAAATGTTTTCTCTCGACCCTTTGAGCATATATCATCATATGATTCTAGCGTGAGAATATTCGCTCTGTCCTTGGTTTCTACTTATCTCCTGATTCCTCTAGGTCTCTTAATTTCCGCTAGGTTCCTTCCGTTTCTTCTCTTTCCGTTCCTCCCAGACTACTTCTCCTTCTCTACTTCTCTCGTCTGTCAGTCGACTCTAACCTGTTGACTCTGACTGTACAGACAGTCGTCTCTCTCTCTCTCTCTCTCTCTCTCTCTCTCTCTCTCTCTCTCTCTCTCTGAGACTCGGGACTTCTACCTCTAGTCTGGTCCCCTGCTTAGTATGCTCCCTGCGATGCACTACGCTATAATAGTATAGCGTAGTGCATCGCAGGGAGCATACTAAGCAGGGAACCAGACTATTATACCTCTCACTGGAAGTTGTCCCCTAAAAAGCTTTCTGTAAAACACAAGGATGGTACACCATTTTTCCTAGGCGCTCACACCTCATATTACACATATAGCTTATCATCTGACAAGGCTATAAAATTTCATCGGTCACGCATCCATTCACACCGAAATACATATACACTCTTGTATGGTTGCTGTTGTTGTTGTTATTGGGCTTAACGCCATTTTTCAGCACACGATAGGCTATTCATGGCAGCCAGTATTAATGGTGGAGGAAGAAACCGGGAAATCACTGGAAAGAACCACCAATCCCGAGAAGCTACTGGCAAGCTTTCTCACATATCCACATTCGCTGAATTCTAGACTCGAACCCACGCAGACAGAGGTGAGATGGCAGTGATCCGTAACGGACAGTGCTTTAGACCACTCGGCCACTCGGGGCCCCCATTCTTGTATTGTAAAACACAATATAATAACACAACATGATAAACAACATGATAAAAGCATGATATCAATTACTCGTATACATACAACGATCATTGATTCACATCTGTACGTACTCAAAATGCGATTATACTGACAATCACAATAATCAGACGCATATTTCTTCATCACAACTCATACCAAAATATACAAATATTCAAACGTCTCTATGCTCTGATATATTCAAACATCTATCTTAACTAGTGAACACTAACATACGTATTACTAAAAGCACTGGTTACTTCAGAGTAATCCATCACGACTTATAACATTAATGCTGCTGAACTAACAATCTACATATTTCTACGTAACTCAAATTCATATCTCAAATAAGCTCATAAATGAAACACTACAAAGTAATTCTACATGCCAAAACAATCCCAATAATTGAGTAAAACATAATATCAGTACTTACATTTACGGCGCTGTAATGCTTTGCAAAAAGCGAGTAAATATCTACCTTTTGAAGCTCTTTGTTTTTTGTTCACAATTCTTTTCCTATGTCTTCTCGCCATTTCACGAGTGGCGTGTCACGGAGTATAATTCTTACAGCGATGTCTCTTCTCAATTGCCAAGGCATATATTGATTAATTCTTGGCCAAAAATCAAATAATACTTTTGAATCTAGGATTTAGGTCCACCCCCTGGCTGAATTCCAATTGTATATTGTGGGACTGACCCAGTCAACTGAACTGTTAGGATTCTTGTTTCTACGTGACGGGTAGAACACTCTTCCTTTACCCTACGGGCTTCCTTTTGATCTCCGACCAATGGGTGGCGGTTGTTCTTACATCAAACACGTTAAAAATAGCCCCGCGTTTACACATCCGGTTACCTAGGCTTGAAGAACGTGACACGGATCAAACGCGTATTTCTCAGCATAAACGTATCCTATATAGAAGGGGATGTGTTGAGATTATATGATCATATCAATATTGTCTCTATTTTTGTTCAATTGCAGATCTGATAAATTTCAACAGATTTTTAAACAATTTTTTAAATTACTTTTTACTTTTAACCAATTACGGACCACCAGACCCGTGTATCCTCTCATTTATGTCTACCCATTTCTTGACTGGTTCACAGTCCTTCCGTATTGTCAGTATTTTTTTTTTTTGGGGGGTGTATTGTGTTGTGATTTAGATTTTTAACGTAGCTTTAACAATTCTTTAGCCATATCGATACGATGTCTGCAGTGTGACAGATTTTAGTGATGTTTAGCACTGGGGCATCATGCCACAGGCATGTAGCATAATGTCCCACCCAATCACATTATCCTGACACCAGGTCAACTAGTCCTAACACTACTTAATGCCGAGAGCCAAGCTAGACAGCTGTTAGTACCATTTTAAAGTCTTTGGTATAACTCGGCCACGGTTCGAGCTTGCGACCTCCCGCATCCGAGGCGGACGCACCACCACTAGGCCATCAGAGTGGTCTTTCTAGGGATTGGTGTTGGGGGGTTCTTACATAGACTTAACAATTTTAGTCACATCGCAACGATGTTTGCAGTGTGGCACTATCCTGACACATTATTTGACCTGTCCTAACACACTCCTCTTAATACTAAGCGGCAAGCAAGGCAGTTGCTTGAAATATTTTTTTAATGCGTCTTTGGTATGACTTGGCCGGGATTCGAACTCAGGAACTTCCGTATCAGAGGCGGACGCTCTAAACACATGAGCCACCGGAGTCCACCAGAACGGTCGTATTATTAGAATCCGCGACTGATTTAAAATTTCGCAAGCACCTCCTAAAGTTACTACTATGATTGATTTTTATTTAAATAAAATAAATGTCCAAAGATAAATAAATAAATATATAAATAAATAAATAAATAAATAAATAAATACATAACTAAATTTGACTGATGTTATGTTTTCGGCTTTTTAGTTTCATTGTAACGTAAAAATATATTTTATTAACATAAAAAAGTTAACTGTAACGTAAAAATATATTTTATTAACATAATTATTAATGTATTTATTAAATTTGGCATATGGAAACGAATCAGACAACAATAATTTCAAAATGTTGAAAGGAGTTACAAGTGATCATTCAGAATGTTGGGTAATTCTGTGTGCTTTTTTTCACTCTTACGTATAAAGAAGTTTATATTATTTGTAATAATTGTAATAACTGGTATTTTAGGTGTTATTAAGTGTTTTTAGTAAATATCTGAACCAACAAGAGCACATGGTATAATATTTACCACTATGCCGTTACAGCAGCGAAACTCATTCATAATGACTAGTGCCTTAGGAAAATTCTTTCCAATCCGTTTTGTGATGCCTGTGTTATGTAGTTGTAACTGACACAATTTAATACCAAGTTGTAATGCATCCTCTGATGCTGGAACCTGCTAATTATTAGTGACAGTTCCTGTCCGGTTTGATCATTAGATTGGAGTCATACTGGGCCTACCTTGATGGGGGTCAAATCCACCTAATTTAAAAAGCATTCATACATTTGGGGAAATCTCTACTAGTGTTGGATTATATGGTGGGCAACGTTCCCTCTAATATTTTTTCTGAGTGTGAGGAATTTGAAACTGTACGGCATTTCTAATGAGCTGCGCGACCGCGCACCTTAGAGGAAACATTGCTGGTGAGAGATCTAAGATATCCTCCCAACTCCCTCAATATTTTGGTTATCGTTATCTAAGAGATGATCGACCACCGTGTTATTTCCCGGATTCATTAATTAGTGGAAAAAAAATTAATTAGGGGATGGAATAACAAAAAATTGAGCAGAGATATAGAATAGAATAACACGAGCCCCCGTATATAAAGTATAACAATTTAATCGATTACATAAACAAAAAATGCCATATGAATGATTTGGTTTTTCTCAAAAATAGAGTTACAAAAAGTATGCGATTTAATTTAGCAGCCCTGTTAATGATTTAACAAATTTCATCATATAATCTAGCGACATTGCCTGACATCACAGCATCGCCTAGTGCTTCGGGTCTTTCCCATATTTTCTGTCGCTTCTTTGCTCCCCCCCCCTCTCTCTCTCTCTCTCTCTCTCTCTCTCTCTCTCTCTCTCTCTCTCTCTCTCTCTCTCTCTCTCTCTCTCTCTCTCTGCAGTCAGCTGTGGAACTCCTTTAAATACGAAACATAACACCTAAACTAAACATGTATCAGATTTGTTTTCTCTTGGGATCACTCAAGAGTCCCAATCTCTTCTGCGTCAAATGTCATATATCGAAAATCAGCTCAATTAAGTCATTATCAATTAATACACAAACAACTTATTATTGATTCACAATCCTATTGATCGTGAATTTGTCGGCATAAATGATACAAATGGTTTAAGACGATAACTTACATATTCGCACAATTTGCGTTAGAAGAAATGCATGAAATCTTACTCCATAATTTCATTTAACTAGCATACCTTTAAATTTGAACTCATTCATCTAACGAATTATTTTATGATATCCTTACAAACAATATTCATGAAATAAGCACTTATTATTTCTGAACACCTGGAAAAGTTGAATAAATTAAACAATAATTACAGACTTACATCCATGAATATACATTGAGTGTAATTAAGACAATACCTTTGTGCCTTTCGAAGTCTTAGATGGCTTAACATCAGTGAATTCCCTTCTCTGTCCTTTTCTAGATACGGATCTCTTCCGAACTCCCCGTCCTTTTGACGATTTATAATGGGAGAACATCTTCTACTTCCCCGGAGTCAAGAACTTCCTGCCTTTCCGAAGAACCTTGGATTGCTTAATTCTACGAGGTAAATATCTTAAAGCCTCTGATTTCTGTTTGGGAACACACAATCTCGTTTAGCTAAGCCAATCAGGATTACTACTTTTCCCGCCATAATTCTTATTAGTCCCATAGAAGTCAGTAAATTCTTTTTAGTCCGCCTTTATTAATATATATTCTAGCAAATATACTTTATGATACTGTTTCAAATAGACTACAATTTCCAAAGATATCTTCTTTGGTTTGTCTCAGTTCAGGTCATTTTACTACCATGACCTCGGGTTACCGTAACACTCTTACCTGGCTTGAACCGTCAAACAACCAAGCCACTAATTAAAACTCAACTCATGCTTCAAATAGACCAGATTACTTATTCAAAGTTGCAATGCTACATCGATGTTAGCCATTACATCAAACCTTAAATGGCACATGTCACGCGGACCCCAAGAAAATGTACTACGAAACCTCTAAAAAAAAAATTTGCACCCTTACAATGAAATAAATCATAGCATGCATGTCACGGCATAAAGAAATTAAGCACATTTTTTTTCGTTTAAGATTTATTTACACAACAACTTTAGCTTGTAGTTGATTGTTTGCATATTTTAGTACCATTCTGTATTTTCTACTGTAGTGGCCTTTTAGCGTTCTTAGTGCTATTAGTGACTGTTAGTTTGTTTGGTAGGACCCTGTATGCGGCAGTCACAAAAATGCCAACCCCTGTTCAAGCCTAACTCAAAGTAAATGAAAACCAAATTGAAGATTAAGTTTCTGTATGAATTTATAAACACAAGGCTCTAGGGTCACTCGCAGAATTATTTTCGGATGGTGGTGGTGGGAGGGGAGGTGGGGAAGCAAACATGTACCCATACTTCACTCTGTATGTGTGTGCGTGTGTGTGTGTGTGTGTGTGTGTGTGTGTGTGTGTGTGTGTGTAAAAATACGAAAACTATTTAGTGCAGAATTATTGGGGTGGGTGGCAACCGTGTAGTGGTCAACTATTAAGTTTTAGGGATGTAGGCCAAATATGTTTAGAGTTGAATTGGGTGGAAGTGGCGGGTGATAAGCAATACCGGATTTAGACAAAGAGAGGCCATAATTTATGGAAGCTATAGAGGCCATATTTGGTATAAAATAAATTGGAGGGGCCTCTTCAGGCTGAGTTCAGACTTTAGGGCCCTAAGCTGTAGCTTGTTTAGCTTATGCCTAAATCCGGTACTGGGGATAAGTACCTCACCACCTGGTCTATATGTGCGGGCGCCCTTGATTCAATGAGCCATATAGGATAATGGAGATGTAAATGAGGTATGTTTCGACAAATGCTTGAACTATAGCAAAGTAATAATCAAATGTTTTTAACGAAATTGAAATTATTTTGTATTAGATCTAATATAAACCAAAGCCTCTCTTAAATCCTTCCTACAACGTTAACACAAGCAAATACACAAATACTGTGAAATCAGTGACTCAGAATCATGTTAGGCTAAGGTGGGCGGGGCTTACAATTGATACTACGTGTGATCTAATTCGGTGTTTTGTCGCTTTTTAAGGTCATTGTGGGGGAATTCCCGACTCAGCATATAAGATTTTTGTCTTGTGGCGGACTGTATTAATGGCACATAAAGTTGCACAAATTTAATACATCGTTTCTTTGCATCATTTCATGAATACATACGTACTGAAAGGAGGATAATGCGTGTCCACAGAAGGCTAAAAACTCCAACGTGATGCATTTAGATGAAGGTATGTGAAAATTATTAGTCTATTTGAGACTGTTCACATAATTTTCTTTGTTTGGAGTTGGTGTGAGGTGGAAAGGGGACTGGAATTTTCTTTTCCTTCAGTTTAACCTCCAGTTAATTGTTTTTTCTTCAGCTAATATGATGGATATAATCAGCTTTACTTGTCATAGACCAGAATAACTTACGGGATAATATGTTGTCGGTCGTCCTTCGTTATCCATCCGTTAGCACAAGTTTGTTACAGGTACTCGTCTTAAACTACCTGGGAAATTGTCTTGAAACATTACACACACACACACACACACACACACACACACACACACACACACCTCTTTCACATATGCACACAAATTCTTTTGTCTTTTTCAGCAGTAAACTCGCAGAAATACAAGGTAGATTTATTATGGTTTTGTAAATGTACATGACTGGAAAATGTCAACTCTGCATTCTAGCAAATACGAGTGAGATGAAGCAAATCGATGGGGCTTGCTACGATATCGTAGCCTCAACTTGTTTACTAATATAGGCCGAAGAAAGGTCAGTGTAGGCCCTATGTGCTTCTTTAATAAAAACGACTGATGCTGACACGGCTCTGCCTCTTTGTGTATACATTTTTTAGTAATGTGGCCCTGGACCCTAGGCACAGCGCCAACTGTACATATTAGATAATACGGCCCAGGGTGTGGTAGGGGATGTAGCCTCGTAATATACCTGTATTTTGGGATTTGCGCTCGTTTGAAATGATTTTACAAACATGACAGTCAATCTCAGTACATAAACGCCTGCACAAAGAGGAAAGGAGGAGGCGCACTTGTCTCTAAACATGTATTGGCCTACTTCCGTAAAACTTTATATATGATAACGTTTGCCACTCCCCCCCTCCCATAAGTCTGCGGACGCACCTGTCTCAGTATATACAGTTCAAAATGTATGATCTGTTTATTCTCTTAGGGTTTCATCGACTGAGTTTCCCCTAACCTTTAATGTTCCGTGTTTGATATATAACTGTCTAACTCAACGCAAAGGAGTGGGAAAAGTAAGAGGAAGCTTAATTAAAATTTACCATGTAATGTTTTATCTTAAAATGTGTAAACTTCCGTCCCGAGGACTTTAGGTTTGTAAATGAGCTATCTAACAACAAACCGTTTGTACATAAACACATCCTCTCGGGAGGAAAACCCCACATACCCCTAACAAAATATAAAGGATTACAGTATTGTTA